ATGTCGAAATCGTCGATAGTGTAGTGGTAGTGATAACCAGACATTGAACAACCGGCCCTTAATGGTTTGCAAATAAAAAATTAACTCAGCGTTTATACGGCAAAGTTTACCATTTTGCAAATTGTTATTTGCAAATAATACATGCGTATAAACGTAGTATGTATGAATTGCGTTCCGGATGCTTCACGATTTTCACGATTCGCAGGAACAGCTGTTTTCTCCATTAATAAACCTTGTGGAAGGTGGTCACCTGGAACGACTTCCTGTAAAAACCTGCAAATCGTGAAGCATCTGGAACGCAACTATGGATTACAACAAGCACATAATTTAAGGTGTTCTTACACGTTATGTATTTGCATCTGTAAATGTGACTTTTTCAATACATATGTAATTGCGTATGTCTGTCAAACTCACAGTCTTTATTTAACTATTTAAACATACGATCTTTAAAAACGAAATTAACTAAACTCAGATGATTCCACCTAAGGGTCAGATGAAAATAGCATATCCACAAATGTAATTTCAAATGTCAACGCATGAACGCACAGAAAAGTAGCGAGTTGGTTTACTTTCGACGGCAACTGCGTTAACGCATTCGTAACGGCGTCGTCTGTAACAGCTGTCATACAAAGGCACGTGTTTAATTTTATTTGACATTGAAGCTGAAATTAGCCAAGAACGTAAACCTACCGGTACGTAAACCCGAGTCAGCTGACACGATCTGTCTTACCAGAGCGCCATGTAAATGAAAACTCAACACCGCAGAATTTTTTTGTAGTTGTAGCCCGTAGCGCAGAAATCTGCGGAATTTAGATTTTTCCGTGTCAGCTGATTTCTTCCTTCTATAGATGGTTGCCACTTCGTCAGTTTCGCAGATGGTAAAAAAGGTATAATTTCCTATTCAAAATACGTTTAAAATATTTGAAATTTACTACTGAATAAAGTTTTTTGTTTAAAACTAAGTAGTTAATATTTAGCTACGATCTATTATAGCACGATTATAGCATATTATAGTTGAAAAGGTAGGTTTATGAAAAAGCATTGATGAGTGGCAACCATGCACGAAAGACACAAGATCACGTAAGAACAAGAGAGTGAAAAAAGTCGATTTTTTAGCGGGTTCTACGCCATCTTGTTTCACTGGAAAACGAGCGAAAAGTAAACAAAGCAAAGAAAACAACGAAAACCAAAGTTAGCCAAAACTATTGTCAGCCACTTTAAACGCACAATTTAGGTAAAATGATGCAACAAAATGCTTTAAAATGTGTTGTCATATAGAATTAACTCTTCTTTATTTGAATAAAAGTGTAAAATAGTGGTGCTTGTGATGTAAACAAACGCTCAGCTGACGAACCCGCTTTCGCAAACTTTTTTCTCAAAACCAGTTACAAATACAACGTCGCGCTCTTACGTGATCTTGTATTTTTGGTTCATGAGTGGCAACACTGTTGTAAGCAACACTGAGGGCTCCAGTAACAGCCGTACCTAAATTAGCGCGTTGAGCGTTTCGCTTGTATCTTTATCTCTCTCTGACGCATTAAATTTATATACGCTAGAAGAAGAGAGGCCGACAGGCCCAACGCTTGACGCGCTTATTTAGGTATGGCTCTAATCGACAAAATTCTGCGTATACAGACTGCGATTAAGTATAGGTTCGGCGCATGATGCAATAATACAAGGTTCGATAAACTGACAGTTGTCTCTCTCGCACCGCTCCCTTAGCAGTGGCAAAGTGTTGCTTATTTGCACAAATTTACTTGGAAAAAGTGTTGCTTTGCTGTGAAATAGAAGTATAAGCTTTTGTGCAATATGTTTATTTGTATATGTATATGAAGCACATTTAACTGATGAAAACATAAACTGCTTTTAAATTGGATGTTTACATAAATCTCATAGTAGTTTTATATTAAATTTGAGTCTTTTTGCAGTTTTTATACGGCCAAATAACACAGAAATTGCGTAGTTCACGTAGATATATTAACATTTCGTTCAATATTTCGTTTAAAACGCTAGATTTCCTGCAAATACATTAGAATTTACAAAAGGAATTTCACTACTCTTTGCCTACTTAGGGGTACTTTTCTACTACCATTTTCGCAGCAATGCATTTCATTCCTCCCCTTTCCCATCCTTCGTAAATGCAACCTTTTGTAAGGGAGTGTCAAACCGCGGCTGTCTTAAGGCCCGTTTACATACAACTTTGGCGTTGCGTTGGCGTTGGCGTTGGTTTGACAGAACGCACGTTAAAAGTATGCTTGCTACAATGAACGCTTGGCGGCGAATCCTTGGGCCACTAAATTAACATATTAACGACAGATAAATTAATATTTCATATCAATAATTGCATTAAAAACGATATTTCTTGCCCGCACTTGATTAAAAAGGAAAAATATTTCACATAATTTTATTTATTCGCAACAGCTGACGAGCGACGCACGCGAAAAGTTGAGAGTTGGCCATCTTTTTGCTTTGTGTTGGCGTGAGCGTTGTCGAATTTTGGCTATGTGGACGGCTGCATTTGAATTCATGTATTCATAGTCAGCTGTTGAAGCGACGCCAACGCCAACGCAACGCCAAAGTTCTATGT